GGCTGTGCCATTTCCGACCGCGCTGACTATGCCAACCGTGACTGTGCCAACCATGGCTATGCCAACCCTGGCTGTGCCAGCGAAGCTCCTCCCAAGCGGGGGGCCCGCCTTGATCCTGCGACTCGCGACTATCTTCGCGCTCGTCCCAGTGGAGGCGACAAGCCGTCGCAGAGTCTGTTGGAATCCCAGGCGGCTGGGTGTTCCCAGGGGTCGTGTCGCGCCGAAGAAGTCGGAGCGTAGCAAAACCCCGCTGAAACGTATCGGCCATCAGTGGAGGCCGACGCCAGCCAGTAGCAGGCCAAGGGGCACCTGACCGCCCATTCCCAATGTGATCCTTGCATGGAATTCAGGCTGTCATAGCGCCATCAAACAGCGGTATCGGCGGCAACCCCAGCCGCGTGGGATAAACCCGGTGAAGCAAAGGAGAGGGAGGGAATGCACGCCAGGCACGGCAGGCACCCCGGTGTGGCAGCTAGCCGCTGCAGCATTAAGATGCAGGAGGGAAGGAAAAGAAGTGCATGCCAGGCACACGGTGTGAGAGGAGAGGAAGAGAAGGTATAACATGTACTCGATCAGATGTCGCTGACTGTGCCAATCGTAGCTGTGCTATTTCCGACCGCGCTGACTATCCCAGTTATGACTGTGCCAACCCTGGCTATGCCAACTCTGATTGTGCCAATTAAGCTCCCGTGGAAAGCGACGCGCTTTTATCGACTATGCACCCTGTGCGCCGGAGCGCCCCAGGTAGCTGAGGTGAGAGTGCCAGGCCGCGTTGCCGTGCTGCGTCCTCTGGGATGCTCTCGCTCTCCTCGTCCTCGCACTTCTCCTCCAGGGACTCCTCCGCCGCTCCCTCCATGGTCTCCTCCCCAGTGGTGGGCCCCCCTTCCTTTTGCAACTCTCGACTATCTTCGCGCTTTTCCCAGTGGAGGCGACTGACCGTCGCAGAATCTGTTGGAATCCGGGGCGGATGGGTGTCCCCAGGGGTCGTGTCGCCAGTGGTTTGTGTTGGACGGTCGGCAAGGTCTTCTCTGTCTTCTCTCTGCCCATTGTCCTGCGGCTCGCGACCCTCTTCGCACTCTTTCCGGTGTAGGTGGCGAACCATCGCAGAAACCCTTGGAATCCGAGGCGGCTGGGTGTTCCCACTAGCCGTGTTGCCGGCGGGTTGTGTTGGACGGTCAGCAAGGTTCTCACTGTCTTCTACCTGCCCCTGACCCTGCGATTCGCGGCTATCTTCGCACTCTTCCCGGTGGATGCGGCAGGCCGTCGCAGAGTCTGTTGGAATCCGAAGCGGCTGGGTGTTCCCAGGGGTCGTGTTGCCAGCGGGTTGTGTCGGGTGGTCGGCAAAGTCCTCTCTGTCTTCTCCCTGCCCCTTCTCCTGTGGCTCGCGACCCCTTTCGCGATCTTCCCGGTGTAGGTGAACGACCATCGCAGAGTCTGTTGGAATCGGAGGCGGCTGGGTGTTCCCAGGGGTCGCGTTGCCAATGGGTTGTGTCGGGCGGTCGGCAAAGTCCTCTCTGTCTTCTCCCTGCCCCTCGCCCTGCGACTCGCGACTACCATCGCATTCTTCCCAATGGCGGCGACTGACCGTCGCAGAGTCCGTTGGGATCCGAGGCAGTTGGGTGTGCCGAGAAGTCGCGTTGCCAGTGGGTTGTGTTGGGCGGTCGGCAAGGTCCTCCCTAACTCCATCCTGCTGCTCCCCCTGCGATTCGCGACTATGTTCGCGCTCTTCCCGGTAGGGGCGACCCATTTCGCAATCTTCCCAGCGTAGGCGACTAACTGTCGCATCTTGAGGAATCATGGGCAGGGGGGGGGGGGGGGGGGGAAGTCAGTCCCAGGGGAAACGCCCTGCGTAGGCGGGGCGCCAGCCCACCCGTCGGTGCGCTGGGTCTGCGTCGTGGTCATGCCGCTGGGCAGCTTTGTTGGACAGCCGCGCAAGCCAGGCGGTTCCAGAAGAGTGTCGACACCGAGTCCCTATTCAGTTGCAGCCTGCTGGCCCAGTGCTGTAGCAAGACGCATGCAATGACTAGGTCGAAAGTAAGTCGATGTCGCGCATGTGTCGATCACTCATAAGACGCACCTCGGCCATGTGCTCCCAGACGTGCTTAGCGAAACTCGACGCACAACTTCCAAGGACAATCTGACACAGAAAAGCGACGACCTCGGGCTCGCAATCCGTGGTCGGGTCGTTTGCGGGCGGGGCCGCCGAAGCGTCGCATCTAGGTCCAGACGGAGAAGTATCTTCTTCTGCTCGCTGACGAGCCGCGCGTTGTCTCGCGCGGCGGGTTGCCCAGACTGTGATGGCGTAGTCGAATTCGCGGCCGTGCTGACTATGCCAATTTCGCTGAGTATCATGTGGGGGGCCATGTTGACTGTGCCAGCCAGGACTGTGCCGGCCCCGTGGGTCCTGACTGTGCCAACCTTGACTGTGCCGACCTCGTGGGTCCTGCCACGCTGACAAGGCCCCGCCAGGAAGCCGCGCGCTCATCGCGGACATGTGGAAGGGGAAAAACGAAAAGAAAAGGAAAGGGAACGGGCAGCGGCCTCCTGACGGCTAGCAGCTTGGGCCAGAGCGGCTTGAGCCAGGGGGGGTGCGGATTGGTGGGGATGCGCGAGGCGTGACGAATTCATGCTTACGTGCATTTTCATCGCCAGCGTGGGCCCCAATGACTGAGATCGCATAGTGGCAGTGGTAGCGATGCACTGTAAGCGGGGGCGTGCGATATGTAGTGTGAGCGTTGCGGTGTGAGCTATGCGATGTGAGCTGTATGATGTAAACTGTGTGGTGTATGGCGTAAGCGGTGATGTGTGCACGTTGGTGTTTGAGCTGTGGTTGTAGGCTAGCTATGCTGTGTATGCTATTTGGCGTGAACTACTTGGTGTGTGCTGTGTTATGTACGCGATGCGGCGTGAACTATGTGGTGTGCGCTATGCGATGCAAACTGTGTGGTGTGAACTATGCGGTGCAATCTACGTGGTGTGAGTTATTTGGTGTAGAAGCTTTCTGTTCGCAGTGAAATGTCCACTCCACTGCTCGCGCGAACATCCCACCCACCCATCCGCAACTTGGTTTGCAAACCTCATGCGGCGGCGATTGCGATGAGTGCTTGGCGCTGGCTGGCGCGTCTCTGCGGCCGCGCCGTCCCGCGCGTGCGCGCGCGCAGCGGCCGGGTAGTTTGGCGCGACCGACGCGGTCGCGGTGGTGCTGACCGCTAGGCGCATCCAGGCGGGCACTTGAGTGCGAGTCGGCGACTTGGGCGGGCGCGGTATCATGGCAACGTCGACACTTGTAGACGCGATGGTGATGATGGTGATGATGGTGACGATGATGATGGCGATGATGCTAATAGCGATGCTGACAGTGACGACGGCACGGTGACGGCGCCGATGCCGATCACGCCGGCGACGATGACGGCGTCTCCGCGTCGGCGATGACAATTTAGAAACAAATTCGACATGCGCGCGTGGCAGACGCGCGAAAGTGGCTCGCATGGTATTAGTTGACACGGGCCGTGCCACCCCAGCACGCGCGCAAGGGCGTTCGAACGATGTCGGCATGCGCGCGCGAAGCCCGTTTGGTAGCATTCTATGGCAATGTTGAAACACGTATGGTTTTGTAAGAGTTCGCAAGAACGCATGCTTTTATTGAACATCCGTGTTGCAGAACTTTTTTTGACGCTCGATTTTGACATCCTCCCGGAACCGAAGGTTTTTGAAGGATTTCGGCATGCGCGCACGACGACGCGCGCGCGTGCTCTTCGTCCCTTTTTTGGCAAGAGATTTTCGCCACGGCGCGCGCCAAACCCGTTTGGTAGTATTTTCTGAAAATCCTTAAGAATTCGCAAGAACGCGCATTTTTTGAACATCCGTGCTGCGAACCCGTTTGGTTTTATATGTTTTTTGACGTTCGATTGTGACATCCTTCTGAAACCGAAGGTTTTTGAATAATTCCGGCGTGCGCGCGCGACGACGCGCGCGTGTGCACTTCGTCGTATTTTATGCAAGGGATCCTTGGCAATTGATGATTTTTGATAAACGAGTGTGCGCGGATAATTTTTTTTGCAGAGGATGGCGGGGTGGCCGCAGCCGGGCTGGCTGGGATTGTATGGTTCCACAGGTCGGACGGACATTGGGTCAGAATCCTATGTGTTTTGCATCGGTGTCCGGGGGGTCTTGAACCCTGGGGGGGGAGTGTGGTCGAACCGAGTTTTTTTTAAAGAAAAGGAGAATCTAAATGTTGCGGCGAGGGACGGGAACGAGTCCGCCGGGCCCGCAGACGAACCTTCTCCTTTGAAGAATGGGCTAGCGACAAACGGGAACGGGGCCGCCTGGCCCGCAGACGGGCCCAGGTCCTGAGAAGGGAGGTAAGATATCTAAGTGCAGACGCTGTTTCGGGAACATCTTCCGATGCGCCAAGCTGCTCGCTGTCCCATGGGAGGGGTCGGAAACCCCGTCAGTGGCCAGGAGCTCGACGAGAGATTCAGAACGGTGGCACCGATGCCCCGACGTGCCTTCCGTACGGCCGCGCTGTGGCCCAAGAGCGGAATCGACAACATGGTGGTAATAGATATGTACCCCCAAAGCCATGCGGTGATAGACCGCGCGGTGACCTCGAACCCCTTAAGACCTCATCGCACGTCTGTCACCGCGCGGTCTTGGGAACCGGGAGGCCCCAATCGCCCGACACTTCCTCGGCAGACAACCCAAGTCCCAAAAACCGTGCGGTCACCCCGAATCCCGACTGACTCACCACACGGTGCGGTCACCGTACCGTTCTGGGGCCCCCGAGTACCATGACTGGGGGACCCCGGTTGGTGGGTGTGGCCTCTCGCAGCGCCGTCCTGGCCTGGCCAGTACGCACATGCAGCGATCACTGAGCCTGGGATGGGCCAGCCGAGATCGCTGGATGTGTGCGAATGTACACTGTCTGTCATATCATTTCATGCCATTCCATTGCACGTGCAGAAAGTGAACATAGCGCGCGCCTCGACAAGGAAACTTCGGGGCGTTTCACAATTCTGGTCTCTCGAACTCCTCCCGCTCGCGTCCGCCGTTGGCGAGGGAAGGAGGAGGGAGAGGGAGACTGTGGCCAGAGCCTGCCGAGATCGCTGGATGTGTGCACAATCCTGGTGTCCTGAACTCCCTCCCGCTCGCCTCCGCCGTTGGCGAGGGAGGGGGAGAGGGAGAGAAGGATGAGGATGAGGAGGAGAAGGAGGAGGAGGAGGAGGAGAAGGGAGGAGGAGGAGGGAGAGGGAGAGAAGAGAGACACTACTGTGGCCAGAGCCTGTCTCTGGTGGGAAGGGCGGCCAGGGCCTCGGCCTGGGAGGGGAGAGGCTTCAGAAGGGGCTCGTCCATCCTCTTCACTCCCCTGTTCCTCCTCTCTCGCAGGCCTAGAGGTTGACACCAACACCAACACCGGCGGTATGCCTCCACCGAAGGAAGAAGATCCCGATCTCGCTGATGGTGGTAATATTCTGGCTGCCAAGGTGACCGAAATATCACCACCAACACCGAAATCCAGGATCGTCTTCCCCCCGTGGAGGCAGCCCCTTCTGTGTGGGTGTTGGTGCCAATTTCCGGGCCTCCCAACTCTCCCCTCCTCCTCCCCGTCTCCCTCCTCCTCCGCCTGCTCCTCCTCCCCGTCCCCCTCTTGGGAAGGGGGGAAGGATGGACGGTAATCCTCAAGGCTCCCTGCGGGCCGACGGCCCGGAGCGCGGGGCGGGGCGAGCGGCGAGGGGTGGACACCCGAGGGGCGCCGTCGGCGCAGCCTCAGCCCGTGCCGCTGGCGTGCCGCACGAGGAGCCGCTCCAGGACGTGGCCGACGCAGCCCCAAGTGGAAAGCTCGGGTCGACGGGGTGCTCGGGGCAGGCTTAGGTCGGGCATGTCCCACTACAGGCGGACTTTGGGCGAAAATCAAAACCTGCTCCAACAAATAGTCGAACATTGTAAACTATGATATTTTCAAATACTTTGAACAGTTGTAATATTCTTAATTTTGATATATTGAATGCTTCCAATATTCAGTATATTAAAACTCGTCCCCTGACTTTTTTCAGACTATTTCTGGATATTCCTCCTGTGGAGGGACACGCTCGACTTAGGAGCAGGGCGGGCCGAGACCACGGCAGCGCACAAGCGGTCCCCGGACCCCTCCCAGGGAGGCCGAGCGAAGCAGCTGCCCGAGCCGCGCCCAGCCGAGGCGACGAGGGTTAGGTCGGGCGTGTCCTCCTAGCAGGCTGGGCGCAAAGTTAGGAAGCATCAAAACAAATAAAAAATTATCAACAAGTATTTCAAAACATCACCCTCAGACTATCTTTACACTATTTTTGAATACTCCTCCTGCAGAGGGACACGCCCGACTTACGACGAGGGTTAAGTCGGGCCTGCCCCTCTACAGGGGGGAATATTCAGAAATAGTCAAGAAATAGTCTGGGGACTATTTTTTGAATATTTTTTGACTATTTTGGAATCTTTGTGGGGCATTTTTTATATTTCGTCGAAAATCTCCTGTAAGGGGACACGCCCGACTCAAGAAGAGGGCCCCCCTCCGAAGGCAAGCGCCGGCTGCCTCGCCTCGCATCGACGAGCCGGCTCGGCCATCGGCACGAATCGGCTCGGCGGAAAAACCGGCAGCCGAACCGGGCACACAGCCGAATCGGTGGGGCCCGGCAGGCTGCCAGGCCTCCACACACGAGACCGGAGCCCAGATCGGGATCCCAGGTCGACTCGAGTCGGGGTCGGAATCCAGCGACGTCGCATCGGGTCGGAGGAATCGAAGCGGGCCCTGCCGAGCTGGCCCGCCGCGGAGTCCGGCGCGGGGTCCGGCGCGGCGACGCGGGGCCGTCAGGGCCACCTCTGGGGGGGCGGGCGGGCGGAGGAGCGCGCGCTTCCCGGGCATCCTGCGGTGCTGCTTCGTGCTCGGCGCCTCTGCCGGGGCCCCAAGGCGACGCTCCGGGGCACCACGCTCTGGGGCACCACGCTCCGGGACCGCGACGGCCACGGCGACGACGCCGACGACGAACGGCGACGACGAACGACGACGACGACGGCGGCGACGGCGAACGACGACGACGACGACGGCGACGACGACGACGACGACGACGACGGCGACGGCGACGGCGACGGCGACGGCGACGGCGACGGCGACGGCGACGACGACGACGACGAACGACGACGATGAACGAAGACGACGACGACGACGACGAGCGGGCATCTTCGCGCCCTAGCGAAGCCGGGCCGTGGAGCCCGGCCTGGGCTGGCCCAGGTGCCGAGATCGCGGGGTCGTGTGCCGCGGGGCACCGCCCAGGGCCACTTCTGGGCAGCAGGAGGACAAGGAGGGGGAAGAGGAGGAGGAGGAGGAGGAGGAAGAGGAGGAGGAATTGCCTGCAATTGCCGAAATTTGCCCGTGCAGGTCTAAGACGCCCGAGTCTCTGCCATTTGGTCTTAAGACACTGCAGTGCGCTTCGCGAGACTGCACCAAGGCGGCCCAAGAACAACTCAAGAGAGGCCCAACAGGGTCATAATGCAGTCCCAAGGAGGGGGTAAATCACATGGAGCTAGTTGGGCCTGCCACCCCAAGATTATACCAAAGGTCACTACGGCCCCGACAGACACCGAGAGGCCCGAAACAGAAACCCCACGAAGCCCCCAAGAGACCTCCAATCGCCGTCCAAGGGGCCGCCCTAGAGGCACCCCAAGAGAATGTCAGATACATCCCAAAAGCCTTCCAGCCTCAACACTTGTGGCCAGCGGCGGCGGAGGCGGACGCCAACGCTGGCTGGCGGGCCGCGCCGGGCAGAGGCAGAGGGGAACAATCTTCCTTCTCCTCCTCCTCTTCCTTCTCCTCCTCCTCCTCCTCCTCCTCTTCCTTCTTCTCCTCCTCCTCCTCCTTCTCCTCCTTCTCCTCCCTCCCCCTCCTCCTCCTCCCTTCCCCCCCGCCAGGTGCAGAGAATCTTCGCCACGGGGAGCGCGCAGGCGGCCTCGATCTGCGAACAACAACCCGCGCACTGGACGGTGGGCGACGGGTGCAAGGTGCCGCCGAGGGAGAGCGAGCCGCGCAGCTCCCACGGGGGCGGAGGGCAGGATGCCTGGGCCTGGCCAAGGCCGGCGGCAGCCGTTTTGGACGCCCGAAATGGGCGCGGAAACCGTTTGGGACGCCGTTTTGGCACCAATGCATCGGCGATGCACCGGCGATGCATCGTAGACGTCGGCGATGCATCGGCCACGTCGACGTGAAGTAAATCGGGCCCCACAGCGGCGCGATCCTCCGACCCCATCTACTCTCTGGGAGGCCTAGACTGGAGCAACTGTGTCTCTGTGCCTTTGGACGCCCGAACTGGGTACGGAAAAAATGGGTACAATGCCCAACAACAAATGTTGTCCCAAACCAACAGCGGCCGCTGTTGGGCAGGCGGCCTTCTGTCTCAATTGGAAACAGGCCGCGGCGGCGCGGACAGCGAGTCCTGCTCAAACTGAACAAGAACTGCTGTTGGGCATTGTACCTATTCTTTCCGTACCCATGTCGGTCGTCCCGAGCCGTGAACCCGAGCCTCGACAAAGGCAAGGCGGCGGGAGAGGTCGAAAGCCAGCAGACAAGACGACTCAGCACTGAAGGGGTCCCACGGAAGTTGATAGATTTGGCGAACAGTTCCCGCCGATCTCGGTAGCAAGCTGGGTTCCCGGGTTCCCTGCTCGGGGTTTCTGGGTTCCCGGTCGATCTCCTTAGCGAAAACCATCCACTGATTGGCGGATACATGCCTACCACGCATCGAACTGAACTCTGATGGCGGGTCGGACAAGTGGAAGCATGAATGTGGTGAGACAGGTGAGGGCGGTTGCAGGATGGGAGCTGATGTCCGAAAATAGGTCGAGTCTGCTCCCTACTGCGGCAAGGCCTCATGTCGTACAAAGCTCGTGCTATACAACCTTGGCCAGCATGTTCTACCAGAGCAGCGTGCCATGTGAACAACTGAGCGTTCGTTCTGGCAGGCTGGCCGGACTCCCAGAACTTGTAAAGGTACTTCGTGAGAGCCGCGTGTTCCTGGTAGGGCACGAACTAACCCGGAGAAGCAATTAAGGACCCCCCCGGCGTTATCATTAGCACCGCGCCGTAATTAAATAATTATTTGGGGGGGTCTTCGCCGAGCGATATTATTAGCACCGCGCAAATGGAAGGAAAATAATTAATTCCAGCGCCCCGCCTCGGGTGGCATTCCAATTAGAATTGTAATGAGAATAAGAATACGAATAAGAATAAGAAAAAGCTGAGAAAAGCTAAGGAAAAGCTTAGAACAGCTAAGAACAAACTGAGAAAAGCTGAGAAAAGCTAAGAAACAACTGAGAAAAAAAACCTGCGAGACCTGCGGGACTCCGTGGGACCCGTGCGATCTGGTGTACCCCCTCCTGGTGCCAGGATAACGCTTCCGGGTGCCGGGTGCGTTATCCTTTCACCGGAGAGGGGGGGGGGGTCCTTAATCGCTTCCTCGGGTTAAGCAATGCTTTCCGTTTTCGTTTTATTTTTGTTTCCCCTCGTTCTGCCTTCGTTCCGCCTTTGCTGCAAAGCCGACTTTAAGCGACGACGGCCCAAAAAATCGCCTAGGCAACGACTCCGGCTCCCGCGGCTGTCTTCGCGCCCAGGCACTCTGAGAAGTGGACCTGGGGCGTGGAAATGCCACTGGGGGAATTCTTGGGAGGTCTGGGGCTGCGCTTTCAGCACGAAGGACGTGGATCCAGGTGGCATGGGTTCCTGGACCCGGCGAGGGCCCCCCCGGAGGCCGACAACTGCCGCAAAATCTTGCCGCTCCGATTTTTTGGGGGGGGAGCGTCGGATCTCAGGGAATGGAGGAGGAGGAGGAGGAGGAGGAGGAGGAGGAGGAGGAGGAGGAGGGGCCCTGGGGCCCTCCACGGGCCCTTCGACTGTGACGACTCGGGATGGAGAGCTGGCCCTGAGGAGAGCCCTGGGGTCTGGATCCGGTTTCCGTCAAGGCCCTTTTCCCTGTCACGGTAGTGATCAGAAGGTAAACACGCGAAAGACCGAGGACAAGGAATGCACCCCAGTCCAAGGCGTGCGTGGGGCTCTTGGGAGGCAGTCTGGAGGCCGCTGGGGGGTTGTTTTGGGGCCTCTTGGGGCCACTATTGAGCCTCTTCGGGGCTCCTGGTGGCCTCTTCAAGCTTTTTGGGGGACTCTTGGGGCCTCCTGGAGACCTCTTCGAGCGGAAAGCCGGGATTGTCGATTTGCGTTCCCCCTGTTGGGCGGCTTTTCGGCCCATCTTGGGGCTCTCTTGGATCTATCTTGGACTGCCTCGGGGCGCTCTTGGGCCGTCTTGGGGCCGTCTTGGAGCCCTCTTGGGGGCTCTTGGGCGGTTTTGGGGGCCTGTTCGGCCGTCCTGGAGCGTTGGAAGCTCGAAAACGCGAGAAAGCTAAACACCCAGAAAGAAAAACAATGAACATCAACGACTTGGGCCTCTTCGGGTGCTCCCGGCACGCCTCTCGGAGCTGTCTTGGGGCCTCTTGGAGGCCTCCTGGGAGCCTGGAGAGCTGTTGGAACTGTCTTGGGCTACTTGGGGCGTCACTGAGTTTCTAGCACTGCTTGTTGGACAATGTTTGTCGAGCAATCTATGTGGCGCAATCTACGCGGTGCGATGCACGCTGTACTCTTTCTGCTGTGCAATCTATGGTGAGCAATTTCAATGGAACAGTACATGTGGTGCCATACACGTGGTGCGATCTATGTGGTGCAGCCAATTTTTCCTCGCAGTGGGATGCCAGCTCCATTGCTCGCGCCATCTTCCCACACACCCACCCGCAACTTGGTTTGCAAAAGCCATGAGGCGGCAATTGTGATGCTTGCCTGGCGCTGATTGGCGCATCGCTGCGGCCGCGCTGCCGCGCGCAGGCTCGCGCGTAGAGCGGCCAGCTAGTCTGGCGCGACCGACGCGGCCGCGGTGGCGCTGACCGCTGGGCACTTCCCAGCGCGTCTCGCAGGCCGCGCTGACTCGTGGGCAGTTTACTGCGAGTCGGTGACTTGGGCGGGCGCGGTATCATGGCAACGTCGACAACGGTAGAAACGATGGTAGCGATGATGACGGCAAGGCCAATGACGGCGCCGATGCTGATCACGCCGATGACGATGATGGTGTCCCCGCGTCGGTGGTGACGGTTTTGGAAGGATTCCGACATGCGCGCGCGGCCGACGCGCGCGAGTGGCCCGCATGGTCTTTGACAAGGATCGTGCCCCCTCAGCGCACGCACTGGCGGCCGAACGATGTCGACATGCGCGCGCGAGGGGCCGCTAGGTCGTATTTGATGAACATGTTCAACAATCCACATGGTTTTCGTAAGAATTCGCCACAGCGCGAGCGCGGACCTTTTTTCGAAGACTGGTGTTATGAAATCCCTACGCAACCTCAGGACTTTGAAGGATTTTGGCATGCGCGCGCGACGGCGCGCGCGCGCGTGTGCACATCGTTCTTTTTGGGGGGTAACGAATTGATGAAAACTGTGGCATCTCGATGACGGCGAATGTGCGCGCAGCGTTTTTTGCTGACGATGGTAGTGGGGGTCGAACCCGGCCAGGTTGGGATGATATGACCTCATATTAGAATGAACGATGGGGCAGAACCACATAGAAACTCCACATCCCCAGGGGGGAGAAAACAGCGGGGGGTGGCAGATCCTGTTTCCTTCATAGATGGAGACTTTATGTTGTGCGCAACATGGGTGGTGCAATCGACGTTGTGGAATCCATGTGGTACGCAAACTATGTGGTGCAATCGATGTGGTGCAATCTATCTGAATTGTATATATGGTCCCGTCTCTGTTGTGCAATCTAGGCGGCGACGAAGCGGCGATGGCGACAACGGAGCCGCCAGACCGACAACCAGGCCCAGACGACGGGCGGCGACGAGGCGGCGACGGCCGGCACGGAGCCGCCAAACCGATACACAAGCCCATGCGACAAGCGGCGACGAGGCGGCGACGGGGGGGCGGCGGCCGGCACGGAGCCGCAAGGCCGACATACAGGCCCAGTTTTTAAGACCAGAAATAACCCCCCCAAGGGCAAGCACTGCTGGGGGAATGCACACACGTATATATGTATATATGTTTATATATATGTACGCACATGCATACATGCAGACATACAACTGTAAATATATTTGCACCGGCAGATGTATGCATGCGTAAATGATATACTATACAACTATGTGTATACATATGGTGCGAGACACCGAATTGGAGATAGAGAGAGAGAGAGACACGGACACGCATATATATATATATATATATATATATATATATGTATGAATATCGAGAGAGAGGCAGATAGAGACAGAGAGAGAGATATACCCGTCGTCGTCGTCGTCTTCCCTGTTCTCCTCCTCCTCATCCTCCTCCTCCCTCCTCCTCCCCCTCCTCCTCGTCCTCCTCCTCCTTCCCCCCCATCCTGCCCCTCCTCCCTCAACTTTCTCCACGGTCGGATCGCCCACGGGCACGCAGTCCTCCTCCCCGAGGGAGCCGACGGCCTTCTTGATGCTCGCGTCCTCGGCCGCGGGCCCTCCAGGAGGGGAGATCCATGTGCGAGGTCCGAGGACCGAAGCTCCTGGATGTTCTCGGGCTTCCTCCTCCTCCCCGTCCCCTCCTCCTCCTCCTCCTCCTCCTCCTCCCTCCTCCTCCTCCTCCTCCTCCTCCTCCTCCTCCTCCTCCTCCTCCTCCCCCTCCCCCTCCTTCTCCTCCTCCTCCCTCCCTCCCTCCCTCCCTCCCTCCTCCTCCTCCTCCTCCTCCTCCTCCTCCTCGCCCTCGTGGCCACGGCTGGATTGCGCTCAAAACCCTGATCAGGGCGCACCCCGTGGAAGGTCTGGGGGAGCGGGGGAATGGGGGAGGAGAGACGCTGTCCAAGCTTCTCCCTGGCCGCCGTGATCTCTCTGTCCGCCTGGGGGGGTCGAGACCCGCTCCGGCAGCTGGAGACCGACGGGAGCTTCGAGCTTGCTGCGCCGAAGCCCCGTCCGTCTTCTGTGAGCCACGCGCAGGCTCGGAAGCCGATTCGGTAGACTGATACTGATAACCATTGGGCATCATCTCCCTCCCTCCCTCCCTCCCTCCCTCCTCCCTTCTCCCTCCTCCCTCCTCCCTCTCCCCCCTCCTCCTCCTCCTCCTCCTCCTCCTCCTCCTCCTCCTCCCCTCCTCCTCCTCCTCCTCCTCCTCATCATCATCATCATCATCATCATCATCATCATCATCATCAAGGACGGGGAAGGGGAGCGTGGGGGAGGGGGGTGGGAGGGAGACGCAGTGCAGGGGTGCCGGCTCGGACGCGAGGGTCTTGCAAGGTCGCGCTGTGGGCCAGGGAGGGGCCCAGCCAAGGCCCAGCAGGCGGGAGAGGCCACGAGGGAGCAAACATAACAGGGCAAGAAGGAGAAAGCAGAGGCCGACCAGTGGAAGAGGATGGGGAAGGGGGAGGCCAACGAGGGCCATGATGGATTGGGCCAGTGGGAAGGGCCTCCCACATTTAGCGACCACTCAGATGCTTGACTTTGCCGTATCCAACAATGATGGGCTGCAGAGCGGGGTGGGAACTGGCAGACACCACGGAGCGCAAAATCCACGCGACGTTGGTCGGGGACGACAATCGAGCTGGAACGTGCAATGCCAATGATCCTCTTGAGGGCGAAGCACCGCGACCAGAGAAGCCTCCTGCATAATCCATGGAACGCTGGCCGGGGATGACATCGACTGAAGCATGCAGCCGAGGGGGAAGCGTCGCGACCAGAGAAGCCCACTCCTTCAGTCGGCGGAGGGCCCAATTGTAGGGAACGAAATATATCAGAGGTCCGCGCGGATTTCATGGATCCGCGCTGCACCCCCCTCCCTGGCGCGCGGAGCGCGCCAGGGGCGGAGGTGCCGCCAGGGGGCGCCAGCGCGGATCCGAGAAATCAGCGCGGACCTGAGTTTCTATGCTTGTGTCAGTGTTCGTTCCCCTGCAATTGAGAGAACGGCGGCTCTCTCGTTTGTGGCCTCGCGGACAACCTGCACTGTGCTAGTTTGTTCTGGCTCCCCCACCTCTTGGGATGGGGACGGTGGACTGGTTGTTGAGCTCCCTCCGAACTGAGAGCCAAGAGCTACGGGCAGACAGCATTACACACATGTTGCTGCGTTCTGTGTGAGTTACTACTGCATTCCTTGCGGGTCAAATGCACCATTACAGCCCCGCCCAAATCTCGGGAGCGGCCACGAGGGGGTTGTCCAAGAGGGGGGGGGTGCAATTCATGACCGGCGGCATGTGCGCGGCCCAGCGGGGGGGCCTGGGACGTAATGAAACAAGAAGAGGCGCTATGAAATCATAGGAAAAATCATGGCCCGCGCCATGAAATCCCCCCCCCCCCCTAGTCATCCCCCCCCTCTTTTCCGCCCCCGAAAATCCGCTCGTGGACCGGTCCCTGGGATCCTCCCGAGGTCCATGCTCGCCCGTTTTTCGACGCGGCTCCCGCCGTGGCGACCAGCAGCAGCCAGGGAGAGCCGCCGCGGTCATGGCCCGCCTCCGACGCAGGGCTCTGGACCCCCTGCCTCGGGGGACTGGGGAGGAGGAGCCCGGGGAGGAGGAGGAGGAGGAGGAGGAGGAGGAGGAGGAGGAGGAGGAGGAGGAGGAGGAGGATGAGGAGGAGGAGGAGGAGGAGGAGGAGAAGGGAGGCGAGAGGAGGGGGGAGGAGGAGGAGGAGGAAGAGGAGGAGGAAGAATCAGGAGGAG